CCCAATGCGCCTTCGGATTTCAGTGTCGCACTTTCCGTCTTCTGTTTAAACATTTCCCAGATATTTAAGTTGTTATAATTCTTTGATTTTTGGTATCTCTGATTTGCAATTCACATTTTATACCTCATCCTTTTGCTAAGAACCATTCATTCTGACATTTCGCAGTTAAAAATCCTTTCTTTTCGCTTTCCTTTACCATTTTCGGTAGGAGTTCTTTTAGGTTTTTAAGTAGGTAAAACCAAAAATTTGCTAAAAAAAAAAAAAAAGGATACATGATTAATAAAATGTCCGAAAAAATTATCTTCAAAACCTTTGTGTTTATTATTATTATTATTATTATTATCATCATCATCGTCATTATTATTATTATTATTATTATTGTTTTATTATCATTATTATTATTAGTAGTAGTAGTAGTAGTAGTAGTAGTAGTAGTAGTAGTAGTAGTATTGATGTAAAACAATTTTTAATCCTTTTTAGGACCTTGGAAATTTTTGGTAAAAATCTTGTTCTTATTTCGTCAACGTCAACCTTTTGTACGTTTTTTTTTTTTTTTATTTTGAGTGTTTTTTGATTTTTTTGATTTTTTTTACGGTGAAAAATTGAAAGATTGATTTGGAAAATCGTCCAAAAATTTAGATAATTGTCGAATTTTAATGAAACATTCAGGACTTATTTAGAAATGAATGAAATTGTTTTTTAATCTTTATAATGTGTGTTTCTTAAGGCTGTTACCACACACTTATTTCGTTTTAGGAAATTTCGAGAGATTCTAATTTGCATCGCTTTATTTATTATAAGAACAAATCTTTTTGATGAAACAGTTGTTGAAAATCTGACTTGAATCATAAAATAAACAACGTAATAAAACAAGGGCATTTTTTTTTTTAATTAGAAAATATTTTAATTACTTTAATGAATAAAATATATTAAGGAAATTATTAACTCAAGAGAAAAGTTTTCTCGAGGAATAATGAATTTTTACATGAATTTTCATTTTTTAAGCTTTACCGACACATCTTGAAACATCGGTTCCCATACGATCAGCGACGTTAAGCAACGCCGAGCCTGGTCAGTACCTAGATGGGAATACCATGTACAAGAGCTTTGGATGTGCGGGTGGTGTAATGTTAATAGGAGAGCCAGGATTAATTCGTAAGACTTGTATCACGAAATCATTATTATCTCAAAAAACGTATTACCATGTAAAAATATTTTCTGGCTTTAAATAAGCTGCATTTGGTTGATAAACCATAAAAAACGAATCAATCAATCAATATTTAATTTTTTTTTAAATGTTAATTAGAAATAATCATAAACTTTTAAATCTTTTAAAATTCTGTATTCCTTTGTAGCAACCAAATGATATTGTTATTAAAACTGTAAATGGAAAAGCTCAGTAAACTTCAACGACCATCATTATTTTTTAAATAATTTCGAATATTTTTTTGTGTATAAACGTGTCGAATATTTTTTTGTGTATAAACGTGTCGACTTTTATAAAATACGGATGTCTATATATGACATTATCAGAAAATACCTGAGATACCTATAATAAATAAAAGATTTACCAGTAATTTTCTAAAAATTTATCAATTTATCCAATCTGTTTATCATAAACAGAGCATTTGCTTAAATACTTGTATCTATAAAATAACAACGTTAAACATAAAAATGTCTTTAATATTAGATAATGTTTTTTTTAAACATATATATCTGTTTTAATATCCTTTCTTTCCCTATTCTTTGTTTCTCTGTTCTATTTGACTATTTTTATCTGTGTATATTTGCCCGTATAAGTTATATTTTAATAAGTGGTTAGCATTCGTTTAATAATACTTTAAGTCTTGAATATATCTTGGTTGTTGTATCAGATTGTCTAGGTCAATGTATATGGATGTGTATATATATATTTAACGGTGTCTATTTATATAGAAAATGCATGCACATTTAATTGTGCATGTATGTATGTATGTGTTCGTTTTTTTTTGTTTTTTTTTTTATAAAGGGCCGTGGAGATATTTCCTGTCTCGTCACTTTTTTTTGTGTGTATATATCTAAATATGTCTGGGTGCTTATGTATTATAATCTGAGTATGTTTGTACTGTTTTACGCGAGAGGTTAGCACCCCACTCACACAATTGGAATTAAAATGTATACATTTTGTCAGGAAGACCAGCCGATATTAGCGTCTATTCTAACGTAATCTCAATGAAAAAATAAATTAACATATGTATTTTTCTTTTCTTCTCAGTAATTTTATAATTTTAAACTTAATAGAGATTAAATTTAGATTTTAAAATTGTTAATTTTTTACTTATAATTTTAATATCAAATTTTATCGTATAATTTAATACTTATTGGTTAGAATAAATTCTATTTTAGTATAACCCCAACTTTAAAGCTCTTAATAGCTATTATAACCTTACTTCGTTGTCAAGTTTTTTGAATTTTCCTATACTTGTGTTTTGATTGGTCATTCTAGCTTATGTAACATCGTTTTCCCTTGCGAAGGATCATTAATTTGAAACTTTTAAAACCATTTATTCTACATTCAACATCATCACTTGATAAGACACTGGATTTGTTGAAACAAAATGGCTATTTTTTAGTGATTTTATAACATATTTATGTTATAATTTTTAAATAAAAAATTATATCTGCTCTACTATGTATTGAGCACTCTTTTAAGAACAGTAATTGTTGGTTATTGGAATGTATTCCGTATACACCAATGCTATACTGATATATATATATATATATATATATATATATATATATATATATATATTGAGTCGAATTGAGTCCTGTCGGTGACTGTGTGTTTATCTAAATATAAGTACAGAGTTCGTACAGATGGAATAAAATCCCGATAACCGATACTTGTATTATGATTGGTTACCATAGGTTATGTAACAATGTTTGACTAATAAGGGGGTTTGGTTCATTTTTGAACTCTTAAAACCCTTTATTTTGCAATCAACACCATCACTTGATAAGACACCCATAGTGTTGAAACAAAATTGTAATTTTTGTAGTGATATTATAACATGCATATGTTATAATCTTGCATATATATATGTTTTTATTATGGTCAACACCGAGCGGCGAGAGTCTCTTTCATGTTTGAACAGACTGTCGCAGTTCGGTGTTGACCTTAGTATCCACTTTTATATTTACAGACACGTCTCGCTCGATTTCAGCGTATGACTTGTTTGGGGGTGAACAACACATATGTTTCGATTATAGTGTCGAACCAACCACAATTTTCAGAAGATCTGATAGCAGAAGAACTGATGGTAGAAGTAATGATAATGGACATTATCCCTAATAGTGTTAGAGTTATCCTTCTCATATTCCGGTTTACAGCCAAGGCAAGATGGCTCCCTCTTTAACCCCTAATAGGTAAGTAGAAGAAATAAATACAATAAATAAATTTCCCATGTTTTTTGGGGTTTTTTTTTATGCGAAAGTGAACGCCGCGACCTCGGCAGAAATTTAAACTCAGCATGCAACACTGATAACAGTTAAGAACATGCATGCACACATGTACGCATATATATATATATATAGGAGGCACGGTGGAGTAATGGATAGCGGCTCGGATTGAGGAATCGCAGAGCCGAGTTCGAATTCCAGTCGAATCAATTAAATTCCCTTACGTGCTAATACCCTTGGGAAAGGTGTGAATCCTCTTCTCCCTCCAGCTATGGGTAAATAGTAGGACAGACTGGGTTCTATAGCCTTGGATAGCAACTGGTCTAGGAGAAGGACAACTCTAAATTCAAAACCTGTGGAGGGGACCTTGTGGCAACGTAGTGCACCAGGTCTCTATATTCGGCCCCTTCAAAAAAGTTTCCTGCACGAAACATTCACCACTATAATCAAATCTCATGTGCTGCTGTCGGTTTCTGGGAACTGATCTGCTTGACCCTCATACGTCGAATTCGACGGGAGAGTCGATATATATATATATATATATATATATATATATATATATATATATATATATATATATATATATATACGAATTATTAAAACAGAGCATATATAAATTACATACACAGGTTTACAATGGAGTAGTTTTAAATTCCTCTGTATGTAATTCATATATATATATATAGTGATATTTTTTAATCTTTTATTTAAATAACATTTTTAACTTGTTTTTCATTTTAAATTTTGAACTCTAAGTTCTAGCTTATTTCCTGTTTAGCTTCATCCATTTTGTTTAATATTATAATTGATCTGACAATTTATATTCGTTTTAATGTGTTTTGTCCTCCATTTTATTTTGCTTTTTCTCCCCAGTTTATTTTGTGCGCAGTTTCTTTTATTTTACACTGAATTTCATTTATTTTTAATTTATCTATATTGTTTTAACTTGAATAGAATTTCACGCGATGCATTATTTTAATTATATATATTTTTTTTAATTTCATACTAATTTATCTTTTATTTTAGCTTCTTTTCTACTTTTTAAACAGTGCTCGCGAAATATCGACAAAGATTTCACTCTTTTTTCCGCTGCAAACACTTTTCGATAAATTATCGAATTCAATTTCAGAGGAAAAACATCTTTTCAAATTAAATAGTATTTTCTTTATCCTTTTTTCTTTTTTTTTTTTTTTTTTTTTTCACACCTCATTTTGGGGTTCTGACGTGCTTTTTTGCAAAACAATTGCGTGTTAATTTAACCACTAGTCAATATTTATCTTAAATTGGGATTGTAGCCACAAAATTCTTCCGTACCTGTTTTCCCACATTCTCAACTTCTCACGTTTTCTAATTCTCCATCTCGACCTTCTTTTCTATTTACCTTGTCTTCCCTTTTGCATGTTATTCTTTCTCTCTTTATTTCTCTCTTCCCTTCGCCTGCCTCTCAATATTTCTCTTTGCTTTTCTCTCAATTTTTATCATTCTCTATTTTCTCTTATTCTCATCTTCTAACCAACTTTTATTTTTCTTTCTTTCTCCTGCTAAAAAATTCACTTCCCTAGTCACAGTTTTCTCTTCTTCTTTTTTCTTTTTCTCTTTCTTTCTTTTTCTCCCTTTTCTCTCCGTTTATTTACCTTTGTAATTATTACTCTTTTTCTCATATTTTTTTTTCTTTTCACTCAAATTAGTTTACTCTTTATCTTTCACACTTTTTGTTATTTATTGATCTTTTTATCTTTATTTCTCCTGTTATACTCTCGAACTTAAGTCAGAAATTTTATACTTTCATTTTTTAGCAATCTTCCATATTTGTATGTCTTTTCCTTGTCCTCCCACTTTTCCTCATTGCATCTTTCTCAATATCTGTATATGTATTTTGCTTCTCCTCCCACTTTTCCTCATCGCCTTTTTTTTCAATATTTTTTATGTCTTTTCCTCCTCCCACTTTTCCTCATTGCCTCTTTCTCAATATTTCAATATGTCTTTTCCTCCTCCCAATTTTCCTCATTGCTTCTTTCTCAGTAATTGTATATTCCTTTTCTTCTCCTCCACTTTTTCCTCAGTGCCTCTTTCTCAATATTTCTATATGTCTTTTCCTCCTCCCAATTTTCCTCATTGCCTCTTTGTCAGTAATTGTATATTCCTTTTTCTTCTCCTCACACTTTTCCTCATTGCCTCTTTCTCAATATTTCTATATATCTTTTCCTCCTCCCAATTTTCCTCATTGCTTCTTTCTCAGTAATTGTATATTCCTTTTTCTTCTCCTCCCACTTTTCCTCAGTGCCTCTTTCTCAATATTTCTATATGTCTTTTCCTCCTCCCAATTTTCCTCATTGCCTCTTTGTCAGTAATTGTATATTCCTTTTTCTTCTCCTCACACTTTTCCTCATTGCCTCTTTCTCAATATTTCTATATCTTTTCCTCCTCCCAATTTTCCTCATTGCTTCTTTCTCAGTAATTGTATATTCCTTTTTCTTCTCCTCCCACTTTTCCTCATTGCCTCTTTCTCAATATTTCTATATGTCTTTTCCTCCTCCAATTTTTTCCTCATTGCCTCTTTGTCAGTATTTGTATATTCCTTTTTCTTCTCCTCCCACTTTTCCTCATTGCCTCTTTCTCAATATTTCTATATGTCTTTTCCTCCTCCCAATTTTCCTCATTGCTTCTTTCTCAGTAATTGTATATTCCTTTTTCTTCTCCTCCCACTTTTCCTCATTGCCTCTTTCTCAGTATCTGTATATTCCTTTTACTTCTCCTCCCACTTTTCCTCATTGCTTCTTTCTCAATATTTTGTGTGTCTTTTTCTTTTCCTTTTCTTTTTTCCTTTTCCTCGTTGCTTCTTTCTCAATATTTGTATATGTCATTTTATTCTCCTGCCACTTTGCCTCATCTCCTCTCTCTTAATATTTTGTATTTTTTCCTTCTCCTCCCACTTTCCCTCATTACCTTTTTTTTAAATGACTTACACTCTTTTTCTTTTCCTCATCTAAGTAAAGCCTCCGTTGTCACTCACTCTTATTTTCTTTCACCCAAATCCTTCATGGCTGCCGTCAATACATTTCTCTCTAATCGCTTTCCCCTCTCTCACTCCTCATCACACTCTCCTTTTTCTCTCCTTTCTCACTGTCTTTCTGTTACTTACGCAGGTTTTTCAAATATTGTTTTTTTCATTTATTTATATAGGAACGTACATATAGGAAGGTTCGCATAATTATGAAAAAGAATTGTTTACACAACAAATATTTATGTTTAAATATCATTTCTTTTCTTTTTAATATAATTAATTCAATGATAAATTGTAATCACCACGATCAAATATTATACAATGAATATTTCACATCAAAAATCAGTTAATTTGTCAAGCTTCTGAGTAACTGATCCAACCTTTAATAGATATACATTGTTATTTTATTTGGTAAATCAATGTTTTCACAATGAAAGAGGTAGTAAACAATTGACAATGTTAAATTTTAAAGATAGAAATGTATTTATATCATAAATATATTACGTGAATGTCATGACACATGAGATTTGAAGGGCCGATTACAGAGACCAGGTGCACTACGTGCCACAATATAATATATATATATATATATATATATATATATATATATATATATATATATATATATATGTATGCATATATTAATAGTACTCGTTTGGAAAACCTTGGATAGCTCAACTTGCAGATATGTCAGGACAAATCGGTACCCGAGGAAAAAATTGGAAATAAAAAAAGAAAGAACTAAAAACATTAGAACAAGACGCTACTAATCACCAAGTGGTTTAAGTCCTTAGTCTAAAGAAAAAAAAAAACAAAAGAGTACAAAGACTAAAACGTAGAGTGCTCAATGCGCTATGCAGAGCGATAAATTAGAATAAATCCTAAGGAGCCAGGCAAACCTACCTAGGTTTCACATAAACGGATTTTCAGCGTAAACTGCCCAGTTTACCCTAAAAGATTTGTTTAGATAAAACCAAGGTTTGATTGGCTCCTTAGATTTATTCTATCTCTCTCTCTCTCTCTCTCTCTCTCTCTCTATATATATATATATATATATATATATATATATATATATATATATATATATATATATATGCATGCATGTAATTTTTTATAACCCTTCACGCAGAAATTTTCACAGCCAGTTCAAGAAAGACGTTTGGGTCACTAACACACTAAAAAGAGAATGTCTCATATCGAGAATATTTAACATCGAAAAACATAAAGAGAAAAATTAATTATTTTTAATAATATGTGGAAATCACCAGCCTTTGCCTGATGACGGTCGCGAGACCGGAAACCCGTGTAATAACGCATACTATTTAAAAAAAAAACGATATTACAACCAAAAACGTTTGCGGTTTTCTCTTTATATATATATATATATATATATATATATATATATATATATATATATATTATGCAGTGTTACATTATAACGTGTACATACCCACTACAAAACAGTATATCTTGTTTCAACGTTAAAAAATGTTTTAACGCTTCATCAGGTGGTAATCACGATGCTACTAGTATAGAAGAATCGTTATTTCCCAGTTTTATAGTGGGTATGTGCATGTTCTAATGTAACACTGCATAATAAATAGATGTTTATTGCTCTAATTTTGTAATGAGCCGTGTTTTAAATTAATGTTTTGAACGCTGAAATCTTACTCTTCGTTCTTTTACATTTTTGGATATATATATATATATATATATATATATATATATATATATATATATATATATATGGGGAGTGGTTACAACGTTCGCTTTCTGATCAAGTGAACCCCACTGAGAATCTGACAATGGTCAGTTTGTCAGTAAGTAGTATTCAGATGTTATCTGGAAAGTGCCTGAAAAGCCATACCACGGGTTGATCAAGCCTTGTGAGTGAAATTAGGTAGACGGAACTCTTGGGTCCGTCGATAGCTGTGCTTTCAACAATCTGAACAACATTTTAACATTGTCAATTGTGTGACCGATGGTTTGTGCGTGTTGGCCTCGATCAGATTGTTGATCACGCTAGATAACACGATCTCTTCCACAAACTGTAACTAAGGTCTACTCAGCATAGTTGCAGTATGTACCACAGGTTGGGTCTGTGGGTGTTGAATAAACACAAATATGCCTGAGCGAGCGTCTGCAATTAGGGATTGGATAGCCGCCCTAATAGACGTGTATCCTCGAAGACGAGTGGCCAGCTATGATATATATATATATATATATATATATATATATATATATATATATATATATATATATATTTTTTAAAAATTAGGAGGGCAATTAAAATAAAGAAGAGACCGTCAGGACGAAACAAAGGTCTCTTGATTTTTTAAACTTAAAACCTCTATATGTTAATTTTAATATTTTTTTTCTCACGTGTATTGAGCACTTTTTAATACTACTGTTCCCTGGTCTGATTCAACTCTGACCATTAACCATTATATATAAACACACATATATATAATGAAATGGACAAAGTCCGACAATTATTCTACGACATTTTTATGTTTATATAGATACAAATATTTAAGTAAATGCTTTGTTTATAATAAACAGTATTAACGACATTTACCGGCCTGAATGTCCGAGAACTTGTCATTCCTCCGACGGGAATCGAACCTGTATCCTATACGCAACCGTCATATAGCCCGACATGCTTTTACCGATTTCGCCACAGAGGAGCGTTAGCATTCAGGCCGGTAAATGTTGTTAATACCGTTTATTATAAACAGACCATTTACTTAAATATTTTTATCTATAAAAAAGAATGTATAAACATAAAAATGTCTTAAAATACACACACACACACACACATATATAGTATGATACATATATATATATATATATACATAACATATATATATATATATATATATAGTATGAGCACTGATAATTACTTTTTATCACAAAAATATAAATACTGACATATAAGAAGAATCTGGAAAAGGCTATAAACTGAAAAGAGAAAAAATATGATAAAATTATTTAATGATGGAAGCATAAGCTTTGAAAATACGAAAAAAAGTTGAACAGATATCAAAGAATTCATTTAAAAACTAGAAAATATAGGAAAAGATAAGAGCCGAAACATTTCCTTAGCGCTATCGCAAAAAAAAACGATATTTGTGAAAAATGGACTGAGCAAAAAAAATATTTTAAGAAGCTGGTATTGCATATGCGAACAGGGTGAAAAAGATGGCGTATATTAAGAAGATTGGCTAAAGACATCAATGTAACTGAAGTGTCAGATTTGTATAAACATTACAAAGATAAACATTTACGTTGGGAAAAAAACTACATGTTTTAACTGATGAATTTCGAGGAATATTGCTGCCATATATGGCCTGGAACCCCCGCTGTTCGTCTCAAAATCCTTGACAAAATCCAGAGACGGATATGCAATGTGATTGGTCCTGGTCTGACATCTTGTCTACAGTCACTTATCACAGACGTGCCGTCGCTTTCCAGATGCCTATTCCCCGTCCTTCTCTTCATCCTTTGCTATATCACGCCTCTTTACTCTTGCTCACACTCTCTGTATCCCCTTGCGTGCTATTGGCACTCCCGCCTTGCTTGGGGTGAAATGCTTTTTTTTTTGTTTTTTTAAGCGTTTCACCCCAAGCAAGGCGGAAAGCCACTAGCACGCAAGGGGTTACAGAAAATTTGGAGCAAGATCAGATAGGAGTGATAGAAGAAAGGATGAGGAGAAGGGTAGTGAATAGATCGAGGCAACTGGAGATACAGAGGCCAGTGAGAGAGAGAGAGAGTACCGGGAACCCCTTCCTAAACAAGAAACAAGGCGTAAGCCTCTACTTATGTCCAAGAGAAGGGGGAGGAGTGTTGACCGGGCGGTAGGAAAGCCTACCTACTCCTATTACATATAACACATACAACAACAACAAAAACAGAGGTAACGATGAGAGGGGGGGGTCATTTGCAAAGTGTCCTGGCTGACACTTGCATTTACCCTTTCACAACATTAAGTTTTAAGTTTTAACTTAGTATAAGTCCCATTGTCTATTCTAAAAAGAAATTGAAGAAAATAAGGTTATCCGGATTTATTGACACGTCATAATAAATGCCCCAACATACGTGGCAGCGAGTGTTAGTCCGCTTTCTTCCTCATGATAACAAGTGAATGTACAGCTTACCTTAAGTCCAAGCATCGACCTGGTGTGGGGGGGGGATCAACGGCCAATCCATCGCCCTCACCAAATAGTGGGCTTGGGAGGTATGCCTTCAATATAAATTAAGAACAACAGGAGAAAGAATGGTGGCGAAAACAATTCCAAGTTCAGAAAATTTATCAAGCAAGAATAGTCGGCCACTAAATCATGAGAATACTGACGAGAGACTTTCGCATCTAGCCAAAGACATTCAATTTTCCCTTTATAAAATAGATTTACCCGAGTGTTGGTTAGGTTGTGAAGTCGTAAGATAGTCAAGAAACATCGCTTAGAAGACATCAGTGGTAGACTGATATGTTGGGCAACGTGATTACGCGTACTTTTATAATCGATCGTGGTATCAAGAGAAATACAGTTAATTATTTCTATTTCTTGGATGTTTTTTTTTTTTAAATATGTACATCGAAATAAAGAACCATTAAGCTAAACATTATATTCCTGCAAGACAAACTTCCTTCACATTCTGAAAAAAAAAACACATTTGCCAAAATGACTGTCAACAGTATCATGATTCTACAGATATTAATCTAACAGAAAACTTCGGGTCCAGCGTTAAAGAAGATGTATGGATGCACAAATGGGAAAACATTCATGCAAAGAACTATGGAAAGCAAATAGCTGAAAGTTTTGTTAAAGTTCAATTTAAAATCTTACCAAAATTAATGGTTGAATATGATGATTATTGTAGGATGACAATGAGATCTGAT